GTAGTAGTAGTAGTAGTAGTAGTAGTAGTAGTAGTAGTAGTAGTAGTAGTAGTAGTAGTAATAGTAGTAGTAGATTATAAGCTCCTTGAGGGCAGAGACTGTTACCTCTTTTTATATCCCCAGCACTTAGCATAGTGCCTGGCACATAGTGGGTGCTTAATAAATGTTTATTGAATTGAGGATGAGAAGAAAAAGGAAGAGGGTAGTAGTGGTAGTAGCAGAAGTAGATTATAAGCTCCTTGAGGGCAGGGACTATCTTTTCCCTCTTTTTATATCCCCAGCACTTAGCACAGTGCCTAGCATATAGTGGGTGCTTAATAAATATTTACTGAATTGAGTAGTGGTAGTGGTTTATAAGATTATAAACTCCTTGAGAGCAGGGACTGTTTTTTGCCTTTTTTTGTGTCACTTAGCACAGTGCCTGGCACATAGTAGACACTTAAGCAATGTTTATTGAATTGAATTAAGTAGGAGGAAGAGGAGAAACTGGCATGTACAATTTACAAAGTGATTTTTACACATTATTTCATTTGGACTTCACAACAACTGTGTAAGATAGGTGCTCTGAGTATTATTATCCCATTTTATAGAAGAGTAAACTGAAGCTATGAAGTTAAGTGATTTTCCTGTAGTTACTGCCTACATAGTAAGTGACAGGGCCAGGATTCCAATGCAATCAATCATTAAGCATTTATTTAGCACCCAATATGTACCAGGTTCTGGAGATACAAAGACAAATATCAAACAGGCCCTATCCTCAAGGAGCTTTTGTTCTCTTGGGGAGAACTCTGGCTCCCTGACTCCATACCCAGCACCCTTTCCATTCTACTACATACACACCACACAAAACTAGGAAAATAGGTCCGGCTCGGGCATGGAGAGCTGATCATGACTGGGTGTTTTCCCCTCCCAAATGACACCAACATTTTTTTTTTTTTAACCAGGGGCCTCAATGTCTTAGTCCACAGGAATGGGATAGCAAATGGTGGGGATTTCAGGCTCTATCTCTGGCTGGTGGGGGAGAGCTTTTTTTGGGAAAAGGACATTCTTGGGCCCCTCATACACATCAGTGACTCCAGTGCCTTCTGGGAGTCCTGGCTGGAGAGATGGCCAGAGATGGCCACCCAGAGCGCCAGCCTGTGGGACCACTAAGTGGGACTCTTGTGGGTAGGGAGGGGCCCTGGGCTCTGTTCCAAAACAAGCCATGCTCTTGGTCACCCAGGCCCCAAGCCCCATGATCATCTGGGATGTTTCCTCCCCCGCCTATCCCTGTCCATCCACTTAGTGCCATATGCTTGGCACTCTCTCTTAATTTCATCCTCTCTGTCTCCCCTTGCTCTGCTTTCCTCATTCCTTCTCCCTGGGACTTCTGTAGGAACTTCTCACTGGTCTCTCCTGTCTCTGATCTATCCTTATAGTCGTCAAAGTTACCTTCCCAGAGCACAGGTCTGACATAGGCACCCCCCCACCCCACGTGCCCATTGTTGTGTATGAAGTAAGATACAGGCTGCTCCTTAGCTTAGCATGATTCCAAACCTGGGCTCAGCCAACCTTTCCAGCATTAGCTTAGTCTACCAGCCTTCATGCAGTCTGCTTTTTGATCAGTTTGGGCTCCTAGCAATTCTTCAGTCTTCTCCTGCCTTTTCCCACCTCCATATGTGTGCACTTCCCACACCTGGCATCCATTCTCTCTTCCTCTCTACTGGTTGAAATTGTTCTTTTCCTTTAAAGTCCAGGTGTAGTGCTAGGCTCCGTGAAGTGTTTCCTGATCCTCCCCTCCATCCCCTACCCCAGCTGAAAAGGATGTCTCTCTCTTCAAATAATAATTATTATTATTGTTGGAATTAGAATTTATATAGCCCTTTTAAAATTTACAAAGCCCTTTACCCGTGTTATCTTAGTTGATCTTCATATCAGTCCTATAGGATAGATGTTATCCCCATTATACAGATGAGGAAACAGAGGTTAGGAGACTTGCCCAGGGTCACACAGCTAGTGAGGATCTGAGGGAAGATTTGAACTCAGGTCTTCCTGACTCTGAGTCTGCACTCTGTCTACCGTGCCTCCTGGCTGCCAAATTTCTTACAGCACTTGGATTGGATCTCTGTTTTGCTTTGATTGCATTCTACCTTATGCTCATCAGATAGTCAAACAAGCATTTATTAAGTACCCACTATATGCTAGTCTCCAGGGATACCGAGATAAAAATGACAGTCCCTGCTCTCAAGGAGCTTACCTTCTATTTAGTAAGTATGCCCTGTTACTCTTATTCAACTGGAAAGTCTTCCAAGGCAGAGACAGTTTGATCTTTGCATCCTCAGCACCAAGCTTCCTTGCACATAGTAGGTACTTTTATTAAATGTTTATTGATTTTTAATTTTGAGTAATAAAAAGGCAACTACTCCTGAGTGTCAAAATGCATGCTGTAGGAATTTGGGAGAATACAGGAAGATTAGCGGGGGCTGAAGTAGTCAGGGAAGGCTTCCTGTAGAAGGGAGCCCATTTCTGAGGAGTGACTGACTTGTACTCCTTCTTACAGATGGCCAGGGTGAAAGTTGCCGTCTGTGATCAGTACACCACTTGCCCAGACTGCCTGGCTGCGGAGGACGCCTACTGCGGCTGGTGCGCCATGGAGACCAGGTAAGGCTCCTATGGAGGCATGCTGCCATTCATGATCCTTCTTCCCTCCCTCTCCTCCCTGTCTCCCTGCCATTGGACTGTGGGTCAGAAGGACTATGTCGCCATTCCACGATCTTTCTTTCCTCCCTCTCCTCCCTCTCTCCCTGCCTTTGGACTGTGGGTCAACCATTGGGACCTGGGACCAGAGGAGGAAGGTCTAGGTTGCCCATTGGTACTTTGGAGGCAGGGTGTTTATGGGAAGTGAAGGTCAGTGTGAAAAGCTACAGAGACAAATTAAGGCTTGATATCAGGAAGAACTTCCTAACAATTAGAGCCCTCCACAAGGGCATCATAGGGGCATAGATTTATAGCTGGAAGGGAAGTTGAAGGTCATCTAATCCAATCCCCTCATTTTCTAGATGAGAAAGCTTAAGGCAAGAGTTAAAAAAAATAGTACAGTAGAAAGATCACTGGATTTGGGTTTGTACGCTATTTCCACAATTTATGATCTGTGTCATTTAACCTCAGTTTCCTCATCTGTCAAATGAGGAAAGTAGACTGACCTGTGAAAGCCCTTCTAACTCCAGCTTTGTGATTCTAGAAGTGTCTTGCCCAAGGTCACACAGAAGGTAAGTGGCAGAGCTGAGATTCAAGAGGAAGAAAGTTGGCTTGGAAGGTAGTGAGTTTACCTTTATTGGAGGTCTTCAAGCAAAGGCTGGATGGTTACTTTCCAGGTGCAATGGAATGGGTATATTTTTTAGATATGAGATGGACTAAATACCCTCTGAAAACATTAGGAAAACAGCTGCAAGGCAGGCTACAGGTATAATTTACTTAGATTACCAGAAAAAAGGATTTGATAAAGTCTGTCACAGTTCTAGTGAAACTGATGAAGAAATATGGACCAGACACTGATGCAGTTTGGTGGATTTGGTCTTGGTTGAATGGGTGGATCCAAAGAGTAGTCATGAATGGGTCAGGGTCAAGGTCAACTTGAAATAAAGCAACCCAGATCTGGGCTTGACCCGGTTCCTGTTTGGTGTTTTTTATCAATGACTTGGGAAAAGGCAGAGATGGCATACTGATCAGATTTACAGATGGCACAGAGCTAAGAGACAGCTAACATGCTTCATGACAGAGCCAAGATTCCAAAGGATCTCAATAGACCAGACCACAAGGATGAGTCTAGGAAGACAAAATTTTATAGGATTAAGTGCAAAGTTTTAACACAACTGAATTTTTAAAAATCAGCTTTGCAAAAACAAAAGAGGGATATTGTGCTAAGAGAGATGTTCATCTGAAATTGATCTTCGGGGCTTAGCCAGTTGTATTTTAGAAAGAACATTGCTGAGTATCCGGAGGAGGGCAAGATGGCGAGTCAGGAACTGGGGATCTTTAGCCTGGCAGTAAAAAGACTTAGGGGAATGAGGACAGCTGTTGTCAAGCATACAAAGGGATGTCACATGGAAGGAGGGGCAGGGTTAGACTGGTTCTGCTAGAACCTGGAGTAATGGGTAGAAATTTGATTGGAGGCAAATTTAGTCTTGAAAAAAAAAATCTTACTGATTAGAGCTACTCCAAAGTGCAATGTGGCACAGTGGATAGAGTGCTGGGAGTTAGGAAGACTCATCTTCCTAAGTTCAAATCTAGTATCAGACATTTACTAGCTGTGTGACCCTGGGCAAGTCACTTAATCCTGTTTGCCTCAGTTTCTTCATCTGTAAAATGAGCTGGAGAAGGAAATGGCAAACCACTCCAGTATCTTTGCCAAGAAAATCCCAAATGGGGTCACAAAGAGTCAAGCATGACTGAAAAAAAAAAAGACTGAAAAATGGAATGGGCTGCCTTGGGAAGAAAACTTCCCTGTCTCTAGAAATGTTTAAGCAAAAGCTGGGTAACCACTTATGGTGTACATTGTAGAATGGATTCTCGTTTAGGCATGAGTTGAACCAGATAGCAGCCTCTGAAGTTTCTTTTAATCCTGGGATGCAAAATATTTATAGGTGCCTGCTCTTTGCCCAGAGCTAGGCCTGGAGCAGCAATCTGGACTCAGGAATGGCAAGCAGGGAATCTGTTGACATCTTTACGTCTCTCTGTGATTCTGGGCAAATGAGAGGACAAGTGTCCATTGGAGAGGCTTGCAGGGGAAGAGAAGTCATCAAGGAAAAGCCAAGTTTAAGTCAGAGCAGGGGGTGGGGCTAGAAGGAAGGCTTGTAGGAGCTGTCCAGGTTTAGGGGAGTTTGCTCATGGCTGTTCCATAGGTGCCCCTTCCAGCTATAAATCTATGCCCCTACGATGCCCTTGTGGAGGGCTCTAATTGTTAGGAAGTTCTTCCTGATGTCAATCCATAGCCATGGATAGGCTGATCCATGGAAGGATCTAGTCGAGAGATGGGCAGGGGCAGAGTGGGCTCAGGCTTAGATACAATGTCCATTTCTCTCTCCCCGCCTGGCTGCAGGTGCTCCCTCCAGCATGAGTGTGCCAACTCCAGTCAACCCCACTTCTGGACCAGTGCCAGTGAGGGTGTCCAACGTTGCCCATCCATGACCATCCTGCCCTCCGAAATCAATATCCACCAGGAGTATTCGGTATGTATGCAGCAGACAAGGAGTGGGGGGGTAGCTGGGGAGCAAGGAGCAAGGAAGAGGGAAGGTGGAGCCTACCAACTTGCTGAGACGTAGTGAGATAAAGTGGTTAGAGTTCGAGTTCTGACGTCTGGAAGACCTTGTTCAAATCTTGCCTCAGACTACTTATTTGACCGTCAGCAAGTCCCGGACCTTCTCTTCACCTGCTTAGTCATTTGTAGAGCAGGTGAACGGTATCCATTCCTTACAGCTCTAAATCTTTGAACTCAGAATTTGTGGTGCTTTCTCCACTGAGAAACAACCAAGCATGCCCCCACAGGGTGGCTGCTAGGAGGAGTGTGGCTTATTGGAATAAATGTACACGATGGAGTCGAAAGGCCTAGGTTCAAATCCCAGTTCTGCCTCTCGACAGTAAGTCACTTTCCTTCTCTGAAACTCAGTTTTTGTACTAGTTGAACTCTGAGGTGTCCTCCACCTCTCACATTTATAAACCTAAGATCTAGGACTCTGATGGCATCAGGATGGATCAAGTTAGGCAGACTTGGCAGGATGGGCAGGTAAGGGGGGCAGATCTCAGCAGCAGTCCATGTGAAGGAGCCCCAAACAGAGCAGCATTAAGGGCCAGGGTAGGCAACAAGTGAATATCCCAACAGGTGGCTGGAGAAAAAACCAGGGGGGTCTGGCACAGGTAATAGGTGACAGGTTCGAACAGGCCAACTGTCAGTGTCTAGTTCTAGCATTCCAGTGTGGGGACCCCTTATGGACATTGAGGTTCTGGAGCAGTACTTCAGCCCCAATTCCCCCCAACCAGCATCCCATTTACTGGAACTAGGTGCAAGGTTGGGGCTTGATTGCCAGGGAACAAAGCAGGAGTCTGGTTATGAGTACCAACCAGACATAAGGGTATAGCCAGATCAGCTGATGATGCCAAGTCATTGGCCGTCTTGTTCTTAGCCTAGGGACACTGATATCCACCCCCTGCTATCAATGGATGGTCCTAGAACCAGAGTCTGAGGTAGGGCTAAGTCGACCATTCAGAAGACTAGAAAACTTAGAACGCAAACCATTCATTAACAGTAACTTTTCCACGTGTCCAAGTGAACATCACATTTACCATAACTGTAATCCTTCATGTCAGTAAAGGCTTCATCATTTTTACACCACTTCTCTTGTTGAAGTCCATTTTGTACTCATTTCACCCTCACAAGATCCTTGCAAGGAACTATCATGTCCATTGGACAGATGACAAAACCGAGGTCGAGAGAGTTAAGTGACTTGCTCATAGTCACACAGGAAGGTCTCCCTTTTAGGGACCACACAAGATGGGGGGTTTAGGAAAGCCAAGGAGAGGATCATAAGATTTTGTAGCTGAAAGAGGTGTTAGGTCCTCTCATCCAACCATTCCATTTTACAGATGAAAAAAACTGAGACCCAGAAAAAGGAAGGAACTTGCTCATGGTGACATATAGTAATTGGCAGAGCCAGGATTTGGTCCTGTCACCTGATTCCTGATCCAAAACTCATTCTGCTATCACACACACACACACATACACATATACACATATACCATATACATATATATCTTTATTAATCTATATATATCTTTATCTATTCCACATATACATATACACACATATCTCTATATTTCTATCATCTATCTATTTATCTGTCTGTCTATCTATCTGTCTATCTATCAAACAGCATTTTCTGCCGTGGGAGCAGGGCCTCATGGTTGCTCCCCCCTGGCCATGGACATTGGGCCCATCCCATGGCCAGCTGAAAGTCTCCCAGGCTTCCCTTTTGCGACTTACAGTAATGACCCCTTGAGCCCCAGTTGCCTCTGGGAGCCTCGGTGGTTTGGCTTGGTCTGGATAAGGGTCTGGCTTTATGCCCAAGAAACGACTGTTCTCCAGCTGAAACCTGCCCCAAGCAGGGAGGGACGGGCAGGCACTTACCCAGACTACCACCAGGCTGATGGGGGAGGACCATGGACGATGGACAACATGCCTCCCAAGTCCTAGCATTTCTGGCAGTTTTTTTTCCTTTCTCTTCTTTTTTGGGAGCCCAGAAATGTAGGAGTCAATATTTGCAAAACCGCCAAATGCCAACCTGCTATTTTGCATTCAAACGAACAGATGATTCTCCCAAAGCTGCTGCCGGGTGATACTTTTCTCGCTCTCCCCCAGTGAGAAAGGGACAGTTCTTCAGCTCTCACTGAGCTGCTGAAAAGCTCCCCTCCCCTTAGCAGCCATTCTCTGAAGCCCTGCCGTCTGCACCAGATAGGTAGGGCCTAGTGAGTATTGAGGTGATTGCTGTCAAAAGCGAACAGAATGAGAAAACCTTTTTTTTTTTCTTTGAAAGTGACACCAGGCTGGGAACTCCTGATAGTCAAGCAGTTTCAGGGCCCTCCAGCTCCGTGACTCAGGCAGATGACCTACCTGGCACAGCACTGACCAGTAGCAGGTGCCCCAAAGTCACACATGCTCTCTTTCTGACCTCAGAATTGTTTTTGCTCTGTGGTTTCTCCTCTATAAATGAAGGCAATTGGCCTAGAGGTCTCCTCTGCCTTCCGTATATGTGGCCTCATTGTGGCATGGAGATGAACCCAAACTCTGAAAAGAGAATCCAATAAATTCTAGACTTTCTTGGGGACCACCCACCTGAAAGAGCTTTGGGTGTGGTCCTGAGGAGGACTGCTAATGATCCCTCTCAATACCAGATGACCTAGCGATAGAGAATGGTGATTTGGTATAGTAGATAGAGTGCTAGGCTTGGAAAACCTGTGTTCAAATCCTGCCTCAGTCACACTGGACTTCAGTTTCTTGATCTGCAAAATGAAGAGTTTGGATTCTACATCAGAGGTCCCTCCCAGCTCTAAATATGGGATCCGATGGTCCATGCCTGTAACTAAGAACCAACTTTGCTAAAAGTGGAAAGGCTTGTCTCTGGGTTGACCCATAAGGGATAAATATATATGGCCATAGCCATTGATGAGGACTGTCCACAAAGGCATATTGAGCTTTAAGGCTAACGGAGTTATTGCTAATAGCTGGTTTGGCTCACTGCCCTCCAATCTCTTGGTCCTTTGAACAGGGTCCACTTAACCCCAATTTGCTGGCTTAGTCCCACACTAGAGGAGTTGGGCTCTCTATGAGTTGTGGGTCATTCCCGCCCCCCCACAAGAGTGGGAAATCATGCTAGTGTTGAAACAGATTAAATTAGTCTGTAATTCTGGACTGGATGCATTACTCATGGGCCAGCAGAAATAATAACTCATTGCTTACTTAACACATGGCTTTAAGTTTTACAGAGAGCTTTCTTTGTGACATAGTGTTATCTTTGTTATCCTCTTAGTGCCTGGCACATAGTAGGCACTTAAGTGT